GTCACGTGGAATTATTAAAGGATTTTAAGCAGGAGAGTGACAGCAGAATTGCAATTTGGAAAGATCACCGTGGCAGTGGTGCACAGCATGAATGGAGGAAGGTTAGTGTAAGAGGCAAGACCAATAGAGCTTGAAAAATGAGCAAAGAGAAAATGGGCATAGAAGCCGAAGGAAGGGAAGAATGAATTTGATTGACATTAAAGAGAGTAGACTCTTCAGGAATTGGTAAGTGATGTGGACAGTAAGGGAGGTGGAAAACTCTCAGATAATTTTCTTATTCTGAGACTGGCCAATGCAATCATCTCTTTTTTTGTCACTTTTCTAAGTTAATTTTTAAATTGATAAATAGAAATTGTATTTACTGGGTACAAAATGTTGTTTTGAAATATGTATACATTGTGGAGAGGCTAAATTAATCTAATTAACATACTTATTACCTCACATAGTTATTTTTTGTGGCGAGATCACTTAAAATCCACTCCCTTAGCAATTTTCAGGAATACAATATATTGTTATCAACTATAGTCACCATGTTGTATGGTACAGCTCTTGAACTTACTCCTATCTAAATAAAATTTTGTGTCCTTTGACTAGCATCTTTCCAACCCAATTCAATCATCTTGATTCCATTAATTAAAAAGGTAATAAAGGAGAACAGTCTGATTGGAAGAAGATATTGAGTTCAGTGTGGAGTTCATTGTATTTAGAGTATCTAAAAGTTATTGGAGGAGAAATGATAAATCAACAGCTGTATATGATGGTTGGTCTCAGGAGAGAGTTTTGGGCCAGAGAACTAAGAGTCATCAGTGGTAAGATCAGATGAGATTTTCCAGGAAGATGCATAAAATAAGAATTGCAGAGATCTGAGGGCACCGCTATGGGGAACATGATAATTAAGAGGCAATTTCAAAAGTGAATATGATCCAGAGAAATAAAGAAAAAAATAAGGACAGAGTAAATTAAAAGAGGATCTAAAAAAAGTTCCAATAAGAAATCAGAAAGTAGATTACAGGGCACATGTTATTAAGAGCTCACATCAGAGAGACATTGGATTTGATCTTATGAAAAGTACCCACTGGCTTTGATCTTCTGAAAAGTGCCTATTGGATTTGATCTATATCCACTTTTCTTATTTGAAAGCACCCACTGGATTTGATCTTATGTAAAGGTTACTGACAGCCAAGATGAGAGTATCCTCAGTGATGTATTGGAGACGTGAGTCGGAAGCTTAGCTACAAGGGTAAGGACACAGAGAATCTCTGGGGTAGGAGATAAAGAAGGCAAGTTGCTTTTTATTTCCTGGTTCATGTTTGTGTTTTTAAGGTAAAGAACACGTTTATATGTTGAGAGAAGGAACCAGTGGGAAGAAAAGCAGTAAGACAGAGCTGAGTTTGTTAGTGATAGCTATCAAGAATCCTAAAAAGCATTTATATATATATGAAGATATGTTCATTATGGTATTTATTATAACAGAATATTGGAAATAACCCAAGTGACCACCACAGGGCAATGGGTACTTATGTTTCTCCCTAGTCTTACCTCCTCTTTGCTTCTACCCAACCCCAGCTATCCCACCATAAACAACTGTCTGGAGCCAGAGTGCATCTCTTATAATATGAATTCTAATCCTTCACATCACTAGATTTTTGGATAATAGCTTCGTGCACGGGCTTGATGCTCCCTCATGTCAGCAGCAGGATAAGGAGCTTTCATCATGATTTACAATCCCTAGCTGAGTGCTGGTCAGGACTCCAAAGTCTAGGCCTCTCAATGCAGTAATAGTCACCTGGGTCACTCAGGACCCAAATCACAAGGTTTACAAAAACATGAAACACCGCTGTCTTGAGAGAAGAAGGCATGTGAACCAACCACAAAGATCCTGAAGGATCCTAGGATCCTGGGAGAGAGAGAAGAATACAGGAGCATTCTAGCACTTTCTCTCCTAGGTTCCACACATCTGTGACCCTCAGAAGCAGCCACACAAAGCAGAGGCTGGAGATCCAGGAGAGATATGCGGAGTGCAGGATCCATACAGGGTTCAGTTAGAAAGTCATCCTGTGGAAAAATCTGGGGAATGCGAAGTGTGATAATCAGAATCAGGTGTGGACTTGAACCTTGTCTCTTTGACTTGTTATGTTACCTTGGAAAATCTATTAATTTTCTTGAGCTTCAGTTTTTTCATCTCTAAAACACGAGTAATAATATCTTCATTGAAGGTTCTTGTCAGATATAGTGGAGAAAGAAACTAAACAGATGTCTAGTAAACTATGGCTGTTATTGCTATGATTATTATTAGAACAAGAGGGAACAAAGGTGAACCTCACACAAGGGAATGAAGAAGACAGAAAAAGGACATGGTGGAAAATGATTCCCTAGATGATTCCCTAAACTCTCTAACTTCTAAAGCCTTCCCCCACTCTCTCGCATCCTCCTGAGCACTCACCCTTAATGGCCCCAGTTCCTTGGAGACTCAGCAGGAAAGTGAAGGACAGGGCTCTCAGGATAACAGCTTTGGTCTGGAACATTCTTCAGGACACAAGTTGTGAAGTCTACAGTTGACAACTGTGACCACAGGAATAGTGATGAGGAACTGGGGCAGGGTGGAAGCAAAGAAGAGTTCTGAAATCATGGGCTCTATCACCTGAAAATGACCAAAAAGGGTAGAGAGGAATCAGCATGGCTAGGCTTAGCTAATGAGAGAAATAATACAGCTGACACTCTTGTTGCCAGGTAAAGAGAATACTGGAAGGGGTTGAGGAGGAGATGGGAGAGTTTTCAGGGACCAGTATGCCAGGGAACTCCAATTCATAGTGCATTTCAGAGTTAGAGAGAGAGGCTTGAAAAGATAAGTCATACATTCTTCCACTGTAAGTGTTTTATATTATGCTCTGTTGTACAATACAATTAGTCTTCCTTCATTCCTCATACCCGCCCCCAACTCAAACAATCCAATTAACTTTGATGTTTTTGTCCTCCATTTATTATCTGAATGATTTTTTAAGTTATTTCATCAACTTTTTAAAAATATTCTGCTGGTATTTAGGAATAAATGCACTATCTAATAAAAAATATAATTAATCTCTCTTTCAGGCTTACCAGCCTAATATATCTTCTTTTCATTCAATTTTTTACGTAGAAGTATTATAGTTTCCATTTAGAGTTTTTAATTAGCTTTACTGAAGTTGATCTTTAAGTATTTTTCTATTCCTGGTTACCATTGTTACTGAAACTTCTAGATAATTCTTATCCAGATTTCTTATTATTTGAGTAAGCAAGCTATCTGAAATATTCTTCTCTTTAAATTACTATTCATTTTATTTCATATTTATATAAGAATACCCAATACAGCAATGGACACCCTTATTTTGATCTTGTTTTTAAGAGGGATTTTTGTAATGCCTTCCTACTACAGATAATGTTCATTTTTTGTTTTATATTCTCTTTACCATATTTAAGGGATTACTTTTCTAGTCTTATTTTAAAGATTTTTATTTTGAAGTATTTCTTTGGTATTTATAGATCATAAAACATTTCATAGTTCATGTAACTATGAAGTACATATATCAATATTTTTTCTTCTTTTGTGGTAGCCTTGTCTTGCATAAATAATAATTAAGTATTAACAGATTAGTACATGACAGACACTATTTTTAGTGCTTTGCAAGTACTATCTCATTTAATCCTCACATCAAACCTAAGAGGGAGGTATTAGTAAAGTCCATTCTAAAAATAAATTACCTGACACACTGAGTAAAGTATTTGTCAAATTATCTACAGCAGGTAAGTGACAAAGAGCAGTCAAACCCAGGCAGTTTTACTGAAGAACTTGAGCTTTTTCCCACAATATAGGTACTGGCTTTTCATTTCTAGTAGCCACATTATGATTTAAAATTATTTTTTCTCTTGCATTTTACATGTTACGATTTTATTTGCATTTTAATATTTATATAAAGAAATGATGCCAATTTGACATTTTCTTCATTAGAATCTGTGGTTCAACAGAATCACATTTATAAGTTTGTAAAATAGGGAGTAATGTTCTTCGAAAGTTTGTAAAAATATTCACTATAAACACAACAGTAACATGTTTGAAGAACAAAGGATCTTGAATGATTTTTTCATTTTCTTCCTCATTTACTGATCTGTTTATATTCTCTATGGGCTTTACTTTTCCAAATCATTTCCAGATCTATTTATCTCATTTGGTCTTAGGACATTGCTGTACAGGCAGGTTATATCATCCCCACATCAAAAACAAAGAATTTAAATCCAAAAAAAGCAATGTCGTTAAAGTTGCATGCTTACTTGGTAATATACCTGGTATGTCCATACTCCCAGGTGTAAGGTCCTTAGACTGAGCCCTGTTGACCCTGATGACCGTCCTATGGAGGGACCCTGGGTACCCTTTACCTCTCAGAACTAACAAACCTCTGAGAGAAAGAAAATACGGGTGATAATCCTAAACCCCATAGAGCAGAGGCAAGACTCCAGGATTCATTTTGAGTTCTGGAATGGATACTCTAATCTCCCTATAAATTATGCCATTGAATGACCTTTTATACACTGAAATGGCACTTGTTCTACCCCAGACGATGTCCTGGGGGGGAGGGGGTGTGAGCTGTGGGAGGGTTGGGAGAATGATAGTCCCCATAGATGGGCCAGCAGAATATTTGAGATCGCCTTCACAGCAAAGAAAATATATACTCTCCCAAAACTTCATCACTTACCCAGCTGGTTAAAATGAATGTCACTGTGCTCCATCTATCATCTTAAGTGCATCATATACTTTAAGTTGTCACACACTAACTGCCTGCCCAGTGAGTGGTGACTCATATAAATCTCAGTGCCCATTGGTTCTTTTCTCAGATGCTGTCCAATCCCACGGTCATAGCAGACTACTTTGGTTCATGGTCTTTAATGTTTCAGATGGGAGCTCCATTTAGTGAGTCCTTCATTCCCTGACTGTTGTTTTCTCCATCTCACCATCCTTTTCCAGTTCCATGATGGTCCTGCAGGTCCCTGAGGCCCCGAGGACAGCAGCTCTGATGGTGTTGCTCATGGTGCCACTCAGTCCCGTGGTTCAGAGTGAGGCCACTCCAGGTAAGTGCTGAGCGGCTATTCCTGGAGGATCTGGCTCAGGGAACAATTCCCAGGGGCCTATCCCTTCAAGGGACCAGACTCTGAGACAGGCTGTGGGGGCTTCTGCCATGGCCCACTGTCCTTCCTTCCCAGCTAGAGAATCACGGTCGCTTCCTCAGTGTTATCCAGTAAGCCTATTATCTCTCCCAGGAACACAGCACAGTGAATGGGAGAGATGACAAGGGGTCAGTATGCTTGTTGTGGTGGAAAATGGAGCCAAAAGTTCTGGGATAACTTTAGAGGGACAAGGTTTTTAGAGAGAAGGGTCAGCAAGGTCGGCATCCTGAACACCCTTACATCTGCATCACAATCTTGAGGGGACTCAGAAAGAGAGCCTTTGGCTGAGGATGTCCAGCTCTAACGATCACACTCCTGGCTCAGTGCTCAGGAAGAGGGCCTTCCGTTCCCTAGGGCAGAAGAGAAGCCTATACCCCTTGAACAGTGATAGAAAGATGGGAGGAAGGGAGAGAGACAGGCTACAGTTCTAGCCCCTGACAGCATTCTTGTATAAGGTATTTCTCCCAACCTTCCCAGAACTTGATTAGAGTATCAGGGTGGATTGAGATTTGTAGGAAGGATGAGACGAGGCTGTGTAGGTATGTGCAAAGGATTGAGAATGTTATGAGACAGCCAAGGAAAGAGTAACTAAGGGAAAACCTCTTCCTCATGCTGCTTCCCTGTGGCTAGTATAATGTTGTGGCTTCTACTACCCAGTCTTTCTCTCTCAAGATGTTTCTTAACTTTAAAGTCCAAATTTATACCCAACACCATGAGAGGAAGGGCTGTAAAGTAGCTATCTTAGTTTTCCACTAACTGCTATATCTCCTTTCATAGATCCTTCCTCTTTTACACCCCTCCACACCTCCTAGGATACACTGTCCTCATCTCACTTCCTCATTTTCCAGGAGTAACAGTATTTGAGTCTCCTGAGTCCGGCCCCTCAAGGCCCAGGGCCCCTTTCTTATTTCATCAGGTCCATTTGCTGAGATGCGAGAGAGAACTTGCCATTGATAGTCACAGAGGACTGCCAAGAACCAACTAGCAGGACAGCTCAGCTGTGGGAACTGTGCCTCAAAATCCTGGGAATTGGAGAGGGATGAGGCTAGGAAAAGAGGAGCCTGGAGGTGTGTTTGGATGACACTGAACAATGACCAGCAGGTGTGAGGGGAGACACTGCCAGCATCTGTAGGAAGAGTTGTTCTGTGGGATAATGCACAGTGGTGGGAGTCATCAAGGAAACCTCAGAGGTGGGATGAACAGAGCAGAGGGGTACAAGTGATGGTAGGAGGGGGAGGCAGCAGAGGTGCAAAAGGTAAACTGAGATTTGTAGGAAGAATGAGATGAGGATGTGTAGGCGTGTGAATGGTATTGAGGGTAGATTACCAGAGCACCCTGCTCAGAGCAGATGTTCAATAAAAACCTGCTGGGTCAGAGGGCAATGTGGGTAGAATGGGCAGGGCAGGTTCTATGATTCCCTTCAAGCTCTTCCAACTCCACACGTCAAATCAGGGCAGAAGAGAAAAGACATAAGAGAGCGGATTTGGCTTAAAGCAGCCTGGGGGAAGAAAGCTTGGTTGAGAACCCCTAGGGAGCATCAGGTGAAGTAGCAGATAGGGCTGGAGGAAACAGACTCATGGGGTGAGTGTATTAGTCAGGGTTCTCCAGAGAGACAGAGTCCATAGGATATGTTATAATTATATGAAGAAAAGTCTCACGATAGGCCACCTATAAACTGGATGCTGGTAGCATGGCTCAGTCCAAGTCCAAAGGCCTCAAAACCAGGGAAGCTGATGGTGTGCTTGGTGTAAGTCCAGGAGCCCAAAAGCTGAAGCGTCTCGACCTCTGATGTCCACAGACACGAGAGAGGCGTGTATTCCATCTCCAGTGGGTAGAGAGAAAGTTTCACCCTTTTCCTCTGTCTTTTGTTCTCTCTGGACCCCCAGCAGATTGGATGGTTCCTGCCCACATTGAGGGTGGGTCTTTTCCACCCAGTCCACTGATCTCTGCTGGAAACACTATCCTGGACACACCTAAAAGGATAGCTTTACCTCAGCTTTCCTTCATCTAACCAAGTTGACACCTAGAATTAACCTTCACAAGTCCAACCCTTGTCAACCTGGTGTCCGTACTATCTCCTTAAATCACACTTAATTTTCAAACGGTACAATAACATAACAGTTTCGCCTAACATGATACACTATCCTGCATATAACCAGACACACATTAATCCCTTTCCAAGAAGAAAAGGTAAAGTCCTTAGATGATATTTACCCTTCTCCCAATATCCCACAACTTAAAATTACAAATACTGTGAGGTAAGGCTAACAATATTTAAATGCTGGTATAAAGTCAGTAAGTCTCATGGTACATGATAGAGAACAAGAACATGATAGAGAACAAAGATAATTGCTTAATATGGGTACAGTATATATACATAGAGACATATTCTTAACACAACAGGGAGAACAATTACAATCCTCATTTCTGCAACTGGTCATGTGGTCAAAGCTGGTATTTATACCTTCTTCTACTACCCATTCTGTATTCCCTTTGCCTTCAGCGAGCACCTCAGCTAGTCATGGTTCTTTACGTGGTGGAGTGACCCAAACCTTCATCCCTGAAGAGTCTGGGCCATTTGTAGTCTTGCCTGGATTTGATTGCTGTAATTTTCCATTGACCTTAATCACAGGGCATGGTAGTACTAAGAGACATCCTAAGGGATCTCCTGTATTCTAGATATAATCTTCCTTACCTCCATTGTGAAGTAGTAGTCCAACTTCCCCATGGTAGTCTGGGTCAATCACCCGTGCCAACACAGTAACTCCTTTCTTAGCCTGTTGACTCAGAGGCACAAGGAGCTCAAAGTGGCCAGGTGGCAGCCTTAACTTCCAGTTCAATGGGGTCATTTTCGTGTCTCCTGATGGACGCATTCCTCCCTCCAGAACCAAGACCTCTAGACCAGCAGAGTATAAAGTTGCGAGGACAAGAAGCAAAAATTTTGTTGATGGGTCCTATCAGTAATGGTGAGTGGTGCCACTTCTGTTTCCACACCTTGATTCCTGGACTTGTGAATACTGACTATGGGAGAAACAGTACCATATATTGGGCACTGATTTAGAGCATATACAGCCTTCTGTAACACTTGGCCCCAGCCCTGCAAGGTATTGTCACCTAGCTGGTGCTGTAACTGTGACTTCAAAAGGCCATTCCACTGTTCTATCAGACCAGCTGCTTCAGGATGATGGGGAACATGATAAGACCAGTGAATTCCATGAGCATGAGCCAACTGCCATACTTCTTTAGCTGTGAAGTGAGTTCCTTGGTCAGCAGCAATGCTGTGTGGAATGCCATGATGGTGAATAAGGCATTCCATGAGTCCATGGATGGTAGTTTTGGCAAAAGCATTTCATGCTGGTAAGGCAAATCCATATCCAGAGTAAGTGCCTATTCGACAAAATGCTGTCTCTTCCATGATGGAAGTGGTCCAATCTAATCAACCTGTCACCAGGTGGTTGGCTGATCACCCCAGGGAATGGTGCCATATCGGGGGCTCAGTGTTGGCCTCTGATGCTGGCAGACTGGGCACTCAGCGGTTGCCATAGACAGATCAGCCTTGGTGAGTGGAAGTCCATGTTGCTGAGCCCATGCATAACCTCCATCCCTGCTACCATGGCCACTTTGCTCATGAGCCCACTAGGCAATGACAGGGATGGCTGGAGAAAAGCTGACTAGTATCCGCAGAACGGGTCATCTTATCCACCTGATTATTAAAGTCCCCCTCTGCTGAGGTCAACCTTTGATGGGCATTCACATGAGAAACAAATATCTTCACATCCTTTCCCCACTCAAGAGAGGTCTATCCACACATCTCTTCCCCAAATCACTTTCTCACCAATTTTCCAATCATGTTCCTTCCACATCCCTGACTATCTGGCCAAACCATTAGCTACAGCCCACAAATCAGTATATAATCACACAACTGGCCATTTCTCCTTCCAAGCAAAGTGCACAACCAAGTGCACTGCCTGAAGTTCTGCCCACTGAGAAGATTTCTGCTCACCACTGTCCTTCAGGGATGTCCCAGAAAAGGGGGTACAGTGCCACAGCTGTCCACTTTTGGGTGGTGCCTGCATATCGTGTGGAACCATCTGTAAACCAGACTCTAGTCTTGTCTTCTTCTGTCAACTGATCATAGGGAACTCCCCATGAGGCCACAGGTGCAGGCTGGGGAAGAGAAGGTAGTATAGCAGAAGTAAGAACCATGGACATTTGGGCCACTTCTTCATGTAACTTACTGGTGCCTTGAGGACATGCTCAGGCCCAATCATGTAAATACCATTTCTATACATATTCTCCCAGTTTCTACTTGTATGAGGTAGAAAATTCATTTAGTTCTTTTGGAGTGTAATGCATCTCCTCATGGGTTATACTTTGTACTTCACCTTTAGGGGCCTGCTGGGCCTTGAGTCTAGTGATAGGTCTAGAATCAACGACGGGTGGTAGAGGTGGGTCCTGAAGAGAATCAGCTTGTCTTGCTCAGCATCTGCCTCAGGGGAAGCCATTACTGTTCCCTTAAGCAATGCAGAGAACCAACTAGCAGGACAGCTCAGCTGTGGGAACTGTGCCTCAAAATCCTGGGAATTGGAGAGGGATGAGGCTAGGAAAAGAGGAGCCTGGAGGTGTGTTTGGATGACACTGAACAATGACCAGCAGGTGTGAGGGGAGACACTGCCAGCATCTGTAGGAAGAGTTGTTCTGTGGGATAATGCACAGTGGTGGGAGTCATCAAGGAAACCTCAGAGGTGGGATGAACAGAGCAGAGGGGTACAAGTGATGGTAGGAGGGGGAGGCAGCGGAGGTGCAAAAGGTAAACTGAGATTTGTAGGAAGAATGAGATGAGGATGTGTAGGCGTGTGAATGGTATTGAGGGTAGATTACCAGAGCACCCTGCTCAGAGCAGA